ATGTCTAATATCTTCACCATTCGATTTCCCATTCTTTGTAGTATGATACCAACAGAAGGTATATAATCATTCCCTCTGTAATAATGTACATCAGAAGTCGTGGACATCAGATGCTTCCTGAGAATTCGAGATTTGAATAGTTTTGCAGGACTTTCATGAGTACTTGTATGCTCCGCATTGCGATATTGAAGTAAGAAGTTATCCACACATCTCTCTAGCTCATCAAAATTTTGAGAAATCATTGATGCTATAGCACTCTTTAATGTTCGTACAAAATTTTCTGCCAACCCGTTTGACTGAGGATTACGTTTTGCTGTGTACAAATGAGGACAACCTATATGTTTGAGCCAATCATTGAAGTTCTTCTCCGTAAAATGAGTGCCATTGTCAGTAACTAAGACATCTGGAATTCCTTCTCGACTAAAAATCTTTCTCAACGCTCTGTGAGTGAATTTGGCATTAGGACTATCTGTAATGATGACTTCTGGCCATCTAGAATAAGAATCCACAATAACTAAAGCATAATATGAATTTAAGAATGGACCACAGTAATCTGCATGAATACGCTGCCAAACCTCACAGGATGCAGGCCACGGTGTCCACGATGACTTCCCATAGGACATTTTATGTAAACAGCTAGAACAGCTCTTTGATCTTTTGTTAATGTCAGCATCAATTTCCGGCCACCAGCATGTTAGGCGTGCTAATGATTTCATCTTATCAGCTCCTAGATGAGCAGAATGTAGATCATCCAAAATTGCAGATCTTAATGTTGGAGGAATAATAATTCTGTCATTCAGACATAGAAATCCTTCAGGATGGACTGAAATCTCATCTCTTCGCTTATAAAAGTCTGGAAATCTTCGCTTACACTAAATATTCCAACCTCTTTTTGTTGCATTTATAACGCATCCGTAATATTTCCGAGTATCATTTATAAGTCGAACTCGATCCACCGGTAACGGCTGGACTAATAAGCAATCAGTATCATTAGCAACATTTTCAAATAATGAATAACGAGATAAGAAGTCTGCATGAGGTATATCCTTTGCCGATCTATGTTCAATAGTGTAATCATATGCACTTAGTTCTAAACTCCATCTTTGAACCATAGCAGCAGATGATTTATTCAAAGATTTTTCTGGATTGTAAATGAATTTCAAAGCTTGATGATCAGTAACTATGTGAAACTTAGTACCAAAGAGATACTTGTGCAAGCGTCTTATTGCCCATACAACTGCTAGAGCTTCTTTCTGGGTTTGTGAGTACCCTTGTTCACTCTTACTTAGACGTCTTGAAATACAAATAACAGGTTGTCCATTTTGCTCAAGTACTGCAGCTATACCCATAGGAGAAGCATCTGTAGTGAGAACAGACTTATCTTTCGATGAAAAAGGTCTTAGGAAAGCTTGTTTATTAAGAAACTCCAAAGTTTTTCGCAAGATATTCTCATGTTGTTGTTCCCACTTAAACTGTTTACTGGAGACAATCTCAAAAAGTGGAGATAACCGTTGAGTGAAGTTGGGAATGAATCTGGAGTAAAACTGAAGAGTACCTATCCATGATCTCAACGATGACATATTATTAGGTGACGGTGCTTGAATTAGAGGTGCCAAACGACTAGCATCAGGTCTGAAACCTTCGGAGTCTACTGTGTATCCCAAGCATGATACAGACGACAAAGTGAAATGGCATTTAGATGGATTAACAAGAACATTATTCTCACATAAACGCCTGAACAGTTTTAAAAGACGTTCATTATGCAATTCGATATTAGGACCATGAACTATAATGTCGTCTTGGTATGACTCAACACCATCTAATCCATCTATCATCTGATTTATTACATTTTGAAATATTGCGGGTGAAACCTTTAAACCAAAAGGCAAGAACTTATACTTGAACAATCCAAATGGAGTATTAATGGTTGTTAATGCACTAGACGCCTCATCAAGAGGAATTTGCAAATAGGCATCTTTTAGATCTATTTTGGAAAAGTATCTTGAGCCATGTAGCTTGTAGAGAATGTCTTCAGTTTCTAGAGTAGTGCAACTTTGCTGTAGTAGACGACTATTGAGTGTAAGGCGGTAGTCACCACAAATTCTAGGTGTTTTTCCATCAGCCTTTAGTGGCGTAACAATAGGAGTAGCCCAATTTGAAGACTCAACTGGCATAAGTATGCCTTGCTCAACCAACTTGTCTAACTCTTTCTTAACTGCATCTCGCAATCCATATGGAATTAATCGGCGTTTCAGGAAGATAGGATCACCCTCTATTTCAAGATGGATGGGCTGAATCTTCATACCACCTACACTCTTTGAACATTGGAGAAGTAATTCTCTGAACAAAGATTCATCAAACAACTCAGTACAAAGTGAGATTTCGACATTTAACAATCTAAGGGCTTTTAATCCCAATAAAGATGGACCATATTCACTAACAAGAAAGGGAATATTTACAAAATTACCACTGTCTGATTTCAAAGAAATGTTAGTAGTACCGATAAGAGGTAATTTATGACCAGTTATGCCTGTAATTGAACTAGTAGTAGGGTCTATCTGGACATTCTTACAAATCGATTGTAAATCTTTCTTAGAAATTATAGATTCAGTACTCCCAGTATCAATTATAAAACAATGGGACTTGCCTGAACTTGTAGTGAAGGTTCTCATTAGATGAGATTGAGTATTGGGAAGAGTTGAAAGACACATAGACTCCATTTTACTAGACAGCTTGGAAGAATTATAAGAATGTTGAGCAACATAAGTATTCGAACTTCTGCAAACAGTCTTGATGTGTCCAACTTTACCACATTTGTGACACTTAGCACTCCGAAAACGGCAAGTGCTTCGTAGATGTAACTTTCCACAGGATAAACACGGTTTAATGTTTTTGATCTCTCGCTGCATTCTATTACCTGTGGACGGCAGTTTGGATTTCTTTCCATTACCACTTGTATTTTTGACTTTAGAAAGCATAACATCAGACACTGACGTAGTGGGAGCAGAGTATTCATTATTGACATCTTCATATGTAATACATACATCTTTAGCAGTTTGAAACGTACAAGAAGGAATCTGAATTAACTCTTTCTCTAATTTAGGAATATTGATTCCAGCAATTAGACGATCACGTAGTTGAGTATGCAGCTGATCTCCAAAGTTACACTTTGAAGCTTGTATTTGGAGTTGCAGAATAAAGTCTCTAATCCTCTGGTTGGGAGCACGAACCAGTTTGTTGAATTGAGCCCTCTCTCTGGTCTCAAATGTAGTCACATGAAAGTGATTTGTCAGAAGTTCACGAATCTTGACATATGACAGAGAAATAGGTTTATCTGGAAACGACAGAGTCTTTACTAGGCTATACGCATCTAGCCCAATAGCAGTGATGAAATGTGCTGGTATTTTGTCATCTTGAACATTCTTGGAAATGCACCACGTATCGAAGCATTCCAAATAATCAGCAATCTCCCGTGGAGAACCACTAATAGGAAATTTTCCCAGGTTACTTAGCTCCATCGTGACGTCAATTTGTAGTAATTTATTGTAATCGTAGTATTAGTATTTCAAGATGACCGAATTACAAGAATCCAAACAAAACGCAGAGAGGGCGGAATTCAGGAATTTGTATTTAGCGGAATTCTAATGCAATTCATATATGAAAAATTAACAATCAACAGTAAGTATTTAAACAATACAAAGATAGAAATAGTCAATTGCCACACCCTCACTGCTTAGAAGAGACACCAACCTCTTGGAAAGAGTCCGAAGACGGGCGACAAAAAGAGTGGTTGGTCTCCGTAAACCATATGATGAAGGGCTAAAGAAATTAGGCCTGTTCACACTTAGCTACCATCGGCTTAGGAGGGATTTGATTACTGTCTACAAGATAACAAATGACCGGAATCACCCAAACAAAGGTGTTCTACGATTGCGTATGTATAGGCTTCCTCGTGGAAATCACGAAGTTAAGCTCACCAGAAGGCAAGGACCCAGAATCGCTCGTACTTCTTCTTTTCACTGCGGGCTTCCTGTCCCTAGATCTCCTTACTGGCAGATGTAGTTATGGCACCGTCTATGGACACGTTTAAGCAATGACTGGAGAATCATGCAGCGACACAAGGACTGCGTCCAAATGGCCTATCCCCTCAAAATCCCGTGCACCCCTCAGAGGTACACAATTAAATTCGTCGTTTCACTTCTTTACATTCTCTCCTGTATTACTCTCCAGATAACTCTAACTACACTTATTATTATTACTGATATATGTATATAAATATATCAATTTCAAATTTAATCAACCGTCTGTTTTACTAATTCGTTATTTCTTTTTCTGTCTGTTAGTCTGAATAACCCACACTAATTATATCTGTTATTATGTCTTTTCTTTTGATGACGATACCAGAGGACTAATTTGTGAAAACATCAACTCCATTCACAGTATTGACAGTCTTAACACACCGCATACTACAAACCACATAAAATAACCACAGTACTACTCATTTGGAGTCAACCATAGCTACGACATTCGATTGTTGGGACGACGTACGCAGAAGTTTACAGAAGATCAGGAATGTTTCACTTGCAGTAGCACCTTGTCAGTCTATACTTATGCAACCACTGGCTGCACGTCGAAACATGCTGAAATGATTTCCATCTAAAGCTGTTCGGTCTATTGCAAACCTATGCCGCCTTCAGTTACTCCAGGAAGGACTGTCGGTCATTCTAGAGGATGTGCTAATTCTCCCATGCTTTTATCTGTATCAAAACACACGTGGGAGGCGTGACAACGGTAGTCGTTCTGAAAATGCCTGGAAATATCCAGTCTGTGATTGTGAAGTTATACCGTACTACAGTAGTACACAAGTTTGGTTCTTTCATCACTAGTCCGTTGCAGAAGCACTAAAGGAGCACTGTCGCTCTTCCAAAATGCCTGGAGAAGAACAACTATATTTCAGGATATGAGAACCACTCTTCAACAGCAGCTAATTGTAAAGACACATGAGAGCAGTTATGTTGGCGATATCCACTGATACACGACGAAGTGATTGTAATTTAATAGTTTTCATGTATGTATGTACTTTGTGTTTTGTACACACAAAAGTCATGTATCCATTTTCGTTTCCAGGAGCTCAGGTGGGGGAAAGAAGTCTCGTAAAGGTCGGAAACATCAGCAAAGCAGTGGGTAAGTTTAATTCTCAGTGCACAGACCGGAATTTTCTCAGCCTGTAGATTTATATATTCAATTTAAATTCAATACAGCAACGTATAATTTGCAACTACCTTGAGATTTGTTGACATTTCTCCATCTGTATCTAGTTCCTCCACATCTACATTTATTGATCCAATTTCTGTATCTCAAAGGATGTCTTCACTGTTGGAATTTCCATTAGATATTTCACTTTTGGTCTAAGTCAAAACTTCTTGACTAAAATTCACAATCCCACGATTTCTTAGGTACACGCAAGGAGGCACTTGTGAGAATGAGAAGCAGCATCATGGCGAAATACTTAGTGCCACTTGTCATTCGAAATACCTGGTGAAGTATATAGTGCTAACAACACGTCTTCCACACACAGAAATCAGAAAGTCATCTCAACTAAAAGACACGTGGAATCGGAAGTCGGATGTCAATTTGTATATCACTGAGAAAATGAACACCGGAAGGATGCGTGACTACCCTGGAATTCTACCCGCCAATCTCCTAATCGTAGATACATATGAACTTCTTCATGGTAGGCTGGCTGGGTTATACGTATCTGCACTGCCGGTATTCCCATAACCACCACTCATCGTGGAATTAGTTGATTCTGAGTCAAAGAACTCACACAAACCTCCAATAGTCACTCCTCTCACGCATAACACTGATATCTCGAAATATACAACCTGTGTTTGATTGTCAGTCCTGTACATCGTTCAGGTTTCAGTATGAGAATTGAGAACAGTCTATCTGTTGTCAAGCGAATGGCCCAGAGTTGCTTAATGCGTTCGGATAGTAATTGAGAGTACAACCGTCCATAATGGTGATACGAGATAGAATTTGAGACTAAAGAATATATAAGGAGAATGCTTGAAGTCACTTAGTGATGTACATACTTGATTTCAACTTGAATTGAGTTCAGCTATTGTAATTGGGTGTAAGTGAATGATGGTGTCTGTTGGGTTAATATATGCTGGAGTTTCATATCCAACAGAGGAGATTATTATGAGTTCCTGTGGTGTGTAATACAATCCTAGTGTGGTGGTTTATTTATTAGTGGGTTTAAAGATGAAAATATTCAGTTTATTGTGACTTGGACTGTTGATGTTACAGAATCAACAGCACTTGTCAGACATTGAATACGAAGAGGATGAGAAGTGATTGTGTTACAAGAGATGATGGTCTGTACAGCAATGTTGTTGTTATTGACCCTAGTTTTGGTGAACGATGAAGTTGATGAGTGGAGCAGTAATTTAGTATACATCCGTTTTTAAAACACGGACTGTGTTGCCTACCATTCTGAGGTTGTATTAATTTCCTTCATGTTAATTGGCTGTTCCACATGATTAGTGATCTAGTCCTTGATGTGTTCTGATTATGAACTATGGTCGTTGGTATTTTATCAAGGAGTAAGTATAGTTGTATTTTGACGTTTGGATGTTTGTCTCTGTTTAATGTAAATGACTTTAGTTGTGTTACGTTTAGTGGTTTGCTCTGTGATGAGAATATAAATTACATATTTTTTTCATACATTTGGTTCCCTTGATAAATTTCGATAAAGAAAGGAAGACGAAATTTGCAGTATAAAATGATATCATTCTATTTCACAGGTTCTCATCAGCTGCAGACTACCTGAAATTACAATGGTTATATAGATGATGATAAGATACTCTAATGTTCAAGTGGAGGTAGAAAAGAGATACTATAAAACTGACGCATCTAAATGAAAGCATTACAATGTTTTTAGTTTAAGTTTTCATCATCAATTTATACGTTTTTAAAGTTGAAAAGAGGGGGAGGGGTAAGAGAGAAAAAATTGATTAACAGAACAGTGTTAGCTTGTAGGTTCACATAGCAACTCAAAAAACAAAAGCGGTTACAGTATATGAGATTAAGATTTGTTCAGTGAGTTGAGATCACTGAATTAGATGACTAATTATTGTAATCAGAATCAAAATTCATTTACCAAGGTTGTGAGAGGTTAATCACACTCTCTTTCTGTATGCATAAGTCTGGTTTAAATCGTTTGATTGCGATCGCTTCGGCAAATCGTAGTGAATTTGGTGTCCTTTGTCTATTTAATATTTTGAAGGACTCAGAAATCTCTACGAGATGTCCGGTATCAATAATGTGTCTGGTAATTACACTCTGGGAATATCTGCTTCCTTTCAAGCACAGGTTTTTGGGAATATGTTCAGAAAACCGGATAGAAGCCCTTCTTTCTGTCCTTCCAATGTACTTGCTCCCGCAAGTGCACGTGAATTCATAAACGCAGTTGGAGGTGACATCAGCAGGGTATTTATCCAGTTTTGAGTGGATTAAAGAAGGAGTGGTGCTGTATACTGTTATGAGTTTTGCTGCTGGGAAGCTTCTATTTATTGCACCTTTCAGTCTTTTGTCAATCTTTTGTGACACTGCATCTCCTTTGTATGGTAGACAGATAAACACTTTTTTCTTTTCTACAGTTGGATGCTTTTCTTTCTCATCTTTTCCTCTGCTGTACTTCTGAATAAATCCCTTAGGGTATCCATTTTCCCTTAGGCATTTCTCGAAGAAAACTAATTCTTCTTCGACCCTGTTTGGTGAACATACCTTTCTGGCTCTGTCATACAAAGTCCTCACTAATCCACGTTTATAGCTTATGGAACAAAAGCTGTTATAGTGAAGATATTGTCCAGTCCAGGTTTCTTTTCTATAGATTGACTTTTCGAACGTGCCTTCGTTTGTTCATTTTACATTTAGATCCAGGAAATTGAACTCATTATTATGTTCATATTCCATGGTGAATTTGATATTTGGATGTATCTCACATATTTTTTTCATGAATTCATTATCATAATATTCACTTTCTCCTTCATTGTAATATATCAGTCCATCTGGTGTTCAAGAGGGCATGGATCGTGATGACCGTTCGTCAAATGCCACACGTGAAGGGTAAGATGAAGTAAATTTTTACATGAATAATTGCCTGTACAGAGATGTGGTGTTGTTTCATTTGTCCTTATTCGTGTAGTTGTCATATGTATATCGCTTGATTAAAGTGAATAAATGGGCATGTGTTTTTTGTAGGAGCAGAATTTCGGGATTGTGGTGGGGCATTATATCACATTAGATAAGTTTATTTGATGAAACACATTGATATAGTATTCACAACTGAGTAGTGACGCTTAGAGTACAACTTGTCTGTCACCCATAACCACACAAGTGTATTTACATGGAGTCCTGACTTGCTTAAGATAGCTTTAGTCCCTCTTGTTCTTCAGGCATATTTATGATAGATGTCGCGTCACTCCTACTCCATGTGTTTGGTTTATATCCAGTGAACAGGAATTCAGTATTTAACGTTGATCTGGTGGCATGTATATACTACGATTGGAATGACACAGATAAATCAACTTTATAATACTTTCACGGTATCCGACCCTCTCATGTGGTTATATGCAGGCTTATGCATTGCATTAATCGATTATTTAATTTAGCGGTGTCAATTATTCTAGGTGTACTAACATTCCTGTAGTCTGACAACCCATTTAAGGCCGATCTACTTGTTTGACCTATGTAATTGACCACATAATCATTACATGGTATTTAAAAAATGACGTCATTTTACCTAATTTGGTCCACTACGAAGTTCACCTCTGAGTGAGTTGATTGGTTTGAACGCCATCCTAGTCCCAGTGTGGTGAGAGCAGGCTGCTAGCCGATTGGTTGACACTAATCTACATCAATATGGGCCGTGAGAAAATATGAACAAGGCTGAGTCAACAACCAATCACAGCAAAGTTAACGTGGCAAAATATGATTCGCAGATAGAGAACTCTATTTGTCAGGGAATCCCGAAACAACCAATCAGAAGCCTGCGTTTGTCTGCATAGCTTCTGATAAACAACCAATCAGATGACTGCGCTTGTCTATAATAATGTATGTGAAATATGTATAAATACGTTTTGATTTTCAAAATAAAACGATCTGTTGCCTGGCCCTTGTCTTCTGTTGTTACACCAGTCTTATCAAGAACTCTACATAATTGAAGCCTTTTAGTTTATTTCATTTTGTTCTCTTAATGCGACAAGAATCATGGTCAGACATGTCATCACACGGCTGACAATTTAACTTGATTTGTATTTCATTGTGATTCAAGTTCAGTAAACATGCCATATTAACGTTGATGCAGTTAGGATATACTTCACCTCTTGATAAATCGTGTTCTGATAGAGTCAGTTAGCCTTTCGGTGAAACATTCACCATACAACATCAGATATTGGAGAGAATACCAGAGATTTGTCACTTTCATATGTACCTGATAAATTTTAAAGCCTGTTCAGTCTGTATGGTTCGTTCGTGTTTGTTGTTATATCCGGATAGTTATTGCCTGAGATTATGTGAAGTGGTGTGTATGTGTGAACATGTGAAACTTCGGCACCAATAGTCGTGGTTGTATACAATGTTTCGGGAGAATCTTCACTTTTCAACTGTCCCCACCGTAATGCTTTCGTGGCTATTTTCTATGCTTTCTCTGTTTCTCATATTGTTATTGCTTTGTTTGTTAGGCCCTCCTTGTCTACATCAGTGTCTCCGGGTCCGTCTAGTGGTTTGGATGTTTCGTCTTCTTCGAAGGAAGCAATAGTTCCTTCAGAAACCGCACGTCAGAAGAAAAGTCATCCGAAATTGGTGTCAACGTAAGTTGTCTAAACGACAGTTTTTCATACACACATAAATCTCATGTTTCGCCGTGTGTTGTTTACTGTATATATTTATTTTTCTTTTAGATCTCCACTTTCGGAAGAAGTTTCTAAGTAAGTTTTCGACTCTTATGTGTGTGTGTGTGCATTACACCAATATGTAATTACCCTGTTATTCATTTGATCACTGAGGTCTTTTGTTTTGTTCTTCTTTTCAGACTGAGTTTGACTAATGTGTCTATTCCCAGCAGACCAGACAAAGGCGGTAAGGAGGGGAAACCGACAACTGTCACTGTGAACTGTTGGGATTTCTCTGTTCAACCGAAGGTTCTTTACATGTACCGTGCAGAGGTTAACAAAGTGTCTCGTATCAATGATAAAGATGCAGTAAAGTGTGAAATACGAATGTCTCCGAAAGATAAACGTGATTTAATTTCACACATTACTCAGAAGTTAGTAATAGTAGTAGTATTATTTAGACTTGCAACGGTGTCATTTTTCACATTAATTACATTTTCTTAATATTGTGTGTGTTTGACAGTTATAAGAGATATTAACTTTGTCATTGTGCATGGGATTGCATTACTACTCTCAAATAGTAAGTACTAGTTGACTGACTGCTCAAAGTACAGGTAGTGCACATCTTTGTTGTGTTTATAATTGACTAGTTGAATGCATATATAATTTAAATACCTCCCATGATGATAATTGTGGAGCAAATACCGATAGTAGTGGTGGTGATGGTAGAGGGGGAAACAATTACTGTCACATTAGCCATTAGATGATATAATAATAAATTGTGAAACCGAGAGTAAAATATACAACTACAGCACAACAGGATATTGATAATACAGTTAGAATTACAAATAAAGTAAAGTAAAATTTAAAAAATGTGAAAGGACAATATTTACAGTTATCCAGTGTCACCGGAAGAGATACCTATTTTAGGTTGGGGACGAAGGTCAAGGAGGGGAGAGAGATTGAGCAAACTATTCGTGAACACAGATATTGGGTGAAAAATCTTTCTGGCGACTGACTCAGGTGTGGTTAGCGACCGAAGAAGTACCAACCTAGGGAGTTGAGGTGGCATTCTGTACAGAATTAATGAAGCTGAGTTTTTGCCAACCTTGTTCTCTCTTCTGATTGACTTTAGGACTCCGCTACCGAACCATATTGGACAGTGCTCCAGAGGGTGACGATGGGCTTACCGAGTCGTCCTACTTATGTAACTGTCTCCACATGAACAGTTAGATTTACAAATGCTCATTGTGAAGTGGCCAGACTCAGTAACTGATCCTTCGCCTGATTTGGAATTATACAACGAGTGGCAAACTTTAAACACAATGTTGCGACAAAGAATGTTTAAGCTGTTATTTTCCTAAGTTTCGATGCCAGTAATTCAGTTGCTGTGTATCTTTTGAATAATAAAGTCATGTATGTACATATCTTCTGCATCGTTTGCAGGCATTTCTTTCTGTCTGCTCTCCTCATCGAGACTTTGACAAATTTTCGGGCTATGCGTTCTCGTATAAAAAAAGGTTTTCTATTTTGCTTCTATCATCGTCTAGAGTGTCGGCTGTGCAGATTTTTCTAGCACGATACACCAGGGTACTGAGGAGATTTCGTTTGTATGTAAGAGGAACAAACGCCTGTGAATGGGTGTATTGGCCAAGTCATGACTTCTTTCGGAAAATACCCCTGTTAATAATGCCATCTTTCTTTCTTGTTATCAGGACATCGAGGAATGATAGGGTGTTGTCCTTCTCCTTTTCATATATGAATTCAGTTTGTCGGTGTGTTACACTGAACGCTTGGAGAAAAACCTCTGGATCGATTTGATTATTATTACTCGAGGTAAAAGTGTCGTCCATATATCTACAGTAGAATGAGAGTTCGTTGAGTGGATGATTCTCTAATTTTGCCATTAACATGTCGGCTTAAATCGTGTTCAAGACTTGTGCCTGTCTGGAACTTCAAAGACCGCTGGTTCTAATCCTACCGTGACTGGAGTTCTGATTTCATCTGTAGTCACCCGTCTTCGGGAAGCCAAAACCGAATGGGTGGAGAAAATCGGTGGTATGGCTGAAAATCGTTCTGAATGGGTGGGACAGATACATTTACTCCTTGTGACTTATAATATCCAATAAAACCAAATTATTCTTTCATATCGCTATTCATTTTTACTTCAAATTTCTGTTTATTATCTCTGTTTTGAATGTTTCTCTACTCTGTTCTCTTTCTTTGTGTGCTACATCGAGGAAGGGAGGGAGGGAGAGTGACAACTCGAACTGTTGCGCACACCTGTGAAAAGTTCTACGTTGATACCAGTCTGTCAGTCAGCCAAAGGAGAAGATAGATAGAACGAATTTTAAAAAAGTATATAGATAATTGTAACGTTAACAATAATAAATTGTTTCGTTTGTACACCTGCAACATACTCTCAGGAAAATAAGTGTTCTTCAAAACAACTTAAATCTTCAGATTCCACAATAGATAGAGGTACATTTATTAATTTGTATGTGACAAATTGAAGTCAAACACTTTTACCAACTGGTGTACACATCACATGTTTGAAAGTTTCCTATGCTGAGTGGTTGTCCAATGTCAAAGGAAGTGATGCGATAGCTTGAAATGTGAACAGTTCGACCAGTTGCTGATGCTTTCACAAGTAACTTGAAGTATGGAAACAGTAAGAATAATTAACGAGAAGCCTTTTCCAAGTTTTCGGTTTTTGTTTCTAACAAAATTAACATGTTTACTGTATTCCTGTATTTGCAAAGACTACCTAAAATGATAGTTTATGATGGGGGCCATGATATATATTCCTTGGAGCGCCTACCTGGAGTTACCACAGATCCAGTGAAGAAAGAAGTGAGTATCAGTGATCCATTGGGTCGTGGTAATCTCCTCCTGGAGTACCAAATAATGGAAGTTAAGAAAGTATCAACTGACGATGTCTATGAGTATGTACGTAACCCTAAAGCTACGTCGCTGAACATTCCACAAGTAAGGCAGAATTACGCTTCCAACCGTGTTTAGGAATCTATAAGATTATTGGACTGTATTTTGAAAACTGTGTCCAAACAGTCCTTTGTATCCCTTGGACGTGCCGCCCTATTTCAAGAAGAGCCAATTAAGGTGGTCTCAGAGAAACTTTTCTCTATCCACAAAGGTTTTATCAGCAGCGTAAGACCACAGTGGAAGGTTCGTGTCAACTTGGACATGGTAAGTGATGGGATTAGCTGTTTTTATGCTGTCACAGACTTGTAAAGCTTTCTTTGTATCAGGAAATCTTGCGGATGTTATGTACGAGAAATACGGAGATAATATGGTGAAATATAGTAAGGAAATGGCGTTCGACTTGCGGAGGATACGAGTAGAAACTGACAAATTCTACAAAAGCGATAATGGTATGCCTCTGTTTCTGTTATACCTTATACGATTCAGGGAGTGTGTACTCTCGACGCTTCACAGTGCATGGGATATCATCATCACCAGCCGATAAATTGATGATTGATGAGTTAAAGCAATCAGTGGCGGAATATTTCAAGGAACATCATCATATCGTTCTGAAGTATCCGTACCTTCCTTGTGTTAAGGTAATTTGTCAATTCAATGTATATTTTCCTAGGTGGATCAAAAGCGTGACGTGTATATCCCTATGGAGTTGTTGAACATTTTACCATATCAGTCTCCTAATGCTAGTAAAGCGGATGTAGCTAGTGAAGTGATCCGGTGTGCGGCAGTTCGACCAGCCGAACGTTTCCGGGAGCTTCAAAATTTCGTTAATAATATGTTCAAGTAAGAGAATTTTCTTTATTATTATTATAATTATTTATTATGAATATCTTAATAAACCGTCGTTCTATCAGATACCGTCAACAGGGTTAAGTAGCACTCTACACCCATGTTACTACCCTTCACCTGACGTGGAGACATTGAGAATGTCAAAGTGAACTACACAGTGATGCAAGGTCTCATGTTAATAATAATAATAATGGCTGTTTGATCTATGCCTAGTTTGCAGGTGCTCTAGTAGATGGTTAGTCGACACAGGTTTCCAGAAAACTGCATCAGTAACTTCTGCTACTTGTGACTGAAAGTGAAGTAAGCGGAAGTGAATGAAGTAAAGTAACTGGTGTGTCGTCACCATCACCATGATGATGATGATGAGACCAAATGGCGGACAGTTGTGTTCGGCTCGAATTTATGTGTAGGGATGCAGATGTGGATTTTCATCTCACTTCCACTTCAATCATCACCCAATGCAGGAGCAGTAGTAGTAGTAGTAGTGGTGGTGATCTGCCAATGCAATTCTATCTACATATTGTGTCGGTACCATTTGTTATTTTATGTGGTGGATGTGTTATTCTTCTTCCTCTTATGATTATTATTGTTATCCCCTTTGGTATTGGAAGTGGGAGATGGTGCTTCAACAGCACACCTCCATTTTGTCGTTTTGTCTTCAGTCCCCCTTCATTAGCTTGTATCCACTTACACGATCTCCTTGACGTCGACTTCAGACAGCCGACTGACTTGTCATTTCCGATCGGGGCTCCATTCGAGTGTCTGATGCGCAGAGTCACTCAACAGGCTCCTCAGTGTGTGTCCGACGGATCCTCATTTTCCTCGATATATTTGTTGGGTGATAGGTTGTTAGTTGGTTGGTTCCCTTGATGGGAATTCTTTGTGGCTGGCGATCTGATCCTTCGTACGTATGGAGCGAAGTCGGCTGTTGATCGGTGTATACAGTAGCTTTTTGTGACTCACTCACCGAACTTCTGACCCGTATTGACTTACCGTTGGTGTTGAGAATCGGAGTCTTGTTCTTTGTGGAGAATATAGGGGACGTCTACCCTGATTTCGGAGTGATGAGTGTCTGTCTTACCTTTCGGATTGTGGTGTGACATTGTTATGCGTGGCGTGTTCCTGTGGTTGAAACGATGCGACCTAGATAAGCGAAAGGAGTGACGTTTCTGAAGTTGATTCCGTTAGTGCTTGACTGGTGCTTGTTATTGTTGTTTGGTGATCCTCGTTGTTTCTGTGTTCACTTGAATTTCTGTGTTTTTGGTGGTTCTTCTGTCGATCTGTTGGTTTTCGCTTGTAAATCTTCCGATTAATGTAACATGGTATATGAGTTATCCGCCGAGTTCAAATTTCTTCCATTTGTGTACCGTATCTGCTCATTTCTTTTACAACCCGGTCCGTCTTCTCAACTTGTTACATTGTTGCAGCATTCCACGTCCCTATCGTTCTATCTGCTTTCGTCGAAAGAAGGCACTCGGTTTGTCTGTGTGCCTGAAGGCCTACAGCAGCTGACGTCATTCGAATCCAACAAAAAATAAGCTTTTTTATTTCCGCTGTTCTTTGAAGTTTCTGTAGTGGTTGTGTTGATTTTCTGGGGTAGCGTGGCTAGCTCCACACCCAACCTTTCATTTTTACTACGGTATTATGACCGACTGGTGAACTGGTTAATTAGGCTAGGTTATATGCCAGTTGATAATACCACTCAGTACTAAGGTATTGTTGCCTATTCATTCAACTGCTAAGAGTGACGGAGGAGCGTGTTTGGACAAGGAAGCTTTATATGATCGATTTCTCCGGTATCCCATAGAAGTTTCCTCTCGGTATTTACTGTAGTAGTGCATTGAGACGATGAAGAATAAATAGCAAAGCAGTTAACAATACAAGTCTTCGATTTCTTTTGAGATTCTTTAAACGTAGCATCTAGTCTCCATAAAACCATAATTGATGTGCATTGTAGAGTCCTCCATATTGGGCGTAGGAGTGTTCAAGATAATGTTACGTTAAGTCATAGTCGATAAGCTAAGAGCCCTTAGACTGTTTACAGTTTAAACGAAACTAATTTTTCCAGCAGTGAAAAATCCCAAAATTTATCTTCACACGGAAATACTAAAGACGAGAACCAGAGGTATAATATTAGACGAATGCTTTGCAGGGATTGTGATAATACATATATGGTATCTGTTGTGTTACCTCGAATTGTAAGCTTGATTAAACTTGAGGAAAATGAAGTATCCTTTCTCAGCTGTTACCGGAGGTCATGGGGATGTGGCTCTTACCTACGGAGTGTATTGTTCGTTTTCCAGGTATAAAGGCAGATACAACAAACATTTCCTCATATCTTTAAATTTTGTGAGGATGCAGAGAGAGTATGTCCATTGTTATGATATGTGGCTATCTCCAGCTAGCTAGTGATTATGCAACACGAATTATGGAATTACGGAAACCTGGAATGCACTGAAAAGGAAAAAAGAATCAAACTAAAGTAATGTTTGTTTACCGTCTGATGGTGAAGCAAACTTCATTGTAGAGTAAGTATGTGTGAATGAAAATCATCTGTGTATGACAGTGGTGTAGTCTAGTGGTGATTTTTTAATGATTGCTTCACAATTTGTTTTTCGTAATTTAGAAGGATTTCCTCTGACATAATATTTGTTTCACTTCTCCCTAGATCACACCCACTGATTAAACAATTCAGTTTGTCAATCCAACCGAAGCCAGCAGAAATTAAGGCACGTGTTATCCAACCGCCAACTGCTGACTTTGGTCGTTCAGGTGTGCGGCCTCTCAAGGCGGGTAGTTTCAACTCACCCGGTTTTCATGACCCTGCGGGAAAAGAAAGGGAATTGATGTGGGCTATACTTAGTGTTCCGCCTAATAAGGTATGTTTTCCACTACGGTTCTATGTAAGGATGTGATGTAATAAATATGTGTGCCATCATCGCTTAAGCCATTAAATAAAGATTGTAGACGAAGTCGTTTGTTAGTTGAAGTTAGCTTACCAGTTGTGTCAACACCAAAGAATACTTTGCCTAGTTTCATGACAGTCTGACCATTTCGTCGTTTTCACAGCATCATCTCCACAGTAAATATCATCATTCCCTTTGATGTGTCAGTTTTTAATGCTCTTCATACAAACCTGAAATTGTCTTGTCTCTTTATAGAAGAGACAAAATCCTGTTAGATCAGCGGATCAGTCTGAGAACTCTGTACTTGATTCTGGTTTACTGTAAGGAAAAAGCGTATATTGGTGTTATTACCAAATTGGAACTGTATAACTAACTAATCATTCTTTTTGTCCCGTCGTTTTGTTTTCAGTTGGCCCAGGGTAATGCACAAAAGGCGATAGCGGAATTGCTGAAAGCTGCCAAACGCTTCGGTGTTCGTTTAAGCCCTTGTCCGATAGTGTCACATTGCCCGAAAAGAGAACTTAACAGAAAGTTTGAGGAGTTCTCCAAACAAGGGTGCGCGTTTCTACTGCTTATCCTTTATGATGAGCAGTGCTATTCGGAAATCAAACGTCTCAGTGACCTACAAATGGGGATTCGCACCCAATGTGTACGAAGTCGTACTTTGAGCAAACCAAACGTATTCCGTAAGTATTTACTATCATTTACATATAACGTGTAGTGTGTTTCTGTATTTGGGCGTGTTTAATGTAGTTTTCTGGTTTCAGCGAACCTGCTGCTCAAGCTGAATGGCAAACTCGGTGGTGTTAATTGGCGAATACCAGGCCTGATTAAAAGCAGTGAGGAACTGATAATGGTGTTCGGTGCTGACGTCACTCATCCGGCGCCCACCCAAATTCAGCAAATTCGGAAGTCAGTAGCTGCTGTTATCGGCAGTGTGTCACCTGATCTGATGAGATACGCGGTAGTCGTCCGACAACAGGCAACGACAGAGAAGGGCAATAAGGCGACAAGAGAAATAATTGACGATATGCGTCTCACGGTTAAAGAATTACTTCAGGTTAGTTTTCATTGACGACTGACTCAGCTTATTTGCACTTCGCTTATTCCCTTTGTACACTTTTGTTCTTCCTTATTTATGTTGTATTGCAGCTTTACTTGAGAAATACAAATGGACGTTTTCCAACACGAATGATATTCTACCGTGATGGTGTTTCGGAAGGTCAGTTCGAAAATGTGTTAGTGGAGGAGTTAGCTGCCATTCAGAGAGCCTGTGCAGATATTCGTCCCGGTGTAGAGCCTGCTATCACTTATATTGTTGTGCAAAAACGTCATCATATTCGACTGAAACCATTTGACTCCAGGTAGGGTATTTATTCATGATGTTTCCTGTGTACCCACTACACCTTAACCAGTATCTTAACCAGTCTGTTTAAATGCTTTGCTAGGGCGAGGAACGTTGAGCCGGGAACGGTGGTTGACACAGACATCACACATCCCAGGGAATTTGACTTCTACCTCTGCTCTCAAGAAGGGATACAGGTAAATTATCTCCTTGTTCCTTCATACTAATTACTTTTAGGGTACATCGAAACCTGCTCATTACCACGTTTTGTACGATGACAGTAATTGGACATCGGATGCGTTGCAAATGTTCACCTACTACTTATGCTACGGGTATATGAGGTGTTGTCGTAGTGTGTCGTATCCAGCGCCAACGTACTATTCGCATCTGGCTGCATTTCGAGCGCGTGACTGGTTATCGTCAGATTTAGAGAATCCAGAGATTTTGTTAGATGGCGGTCGTTTCAAAGTCCACAGAAGTCAAGTGGACGGCATGTTTTACTTGTAAACAATAATCTCATTGCCTGTTGAACACATTGCCTTCATCTTTGTTTTGACACATCTTTTTTCACATATTGTTTGCAACCTGAATTACAGCTTTCATTATGAATCCTACTGTTAGTTGTTTTTAGTATAGGGCTCTGGACGGATCTACACCTATTGCATTGGACACTTGATGTGGTGGTTGTGACCTTATTTTTGTTTAAAAAAAACCACGTGATTCCGTTGGTCATGCAAAGTAATTCTGACTAGGTGAGTTCATAAAGTGATACATATATTATTTCCTCCAACCACATGTCGAAGATTTCAATGTTTATGTGTTGAGTCGTTCGATGGGCGTGATCGACTGGAGTGGTGAGGTTTTCAGTCATGCGTAAGTATGCAAATCGGTTAGAAGTGAAGAAACTCCACTAAATACTGCCAGTTTACAGTCGAGTTCGTGCTGTTCATTTTAATTGTATTGTTAGAACTAAGGAGAATTGTGGCACACACTGATATGCAGACACACTTCCTGACTGTGGATATATTGACGTTTGGTATGGTAGGGGAAGCCAAAGATTTAGATGTGGTTTTCATTGGACGACGTGGAGCAGGATAGAGGGAACAGTTAATGTATAAGTGGGAAGGATCAATCAAGTAAAAATAGTCTTACATGTCGCCTCCCAAGTCCAAAGAGAGCGAACCGATACTGTTGACAGCTTATCGTAAATATGTTCAGATAATCATTTGTCTCTAACATGCACTGATTGCAAGATATATATACAAAAGGGGCATTTTCAAACGTGTCGGTGACTACCTAATTAAAGTGTGGTTCTAAATATATCATAGTTCCACCTTGCTACACTTCACCTGACGTGGAGACATTGAGTATGTCAAAGTGAACTACACAGTGATGCAAGGTCTCATGTTAATAATAATAATAATAATGTCTGTTTGATCTATGCCTAGTTTGCAGGTGCTCTAGTAGATGGTTAGTCGACACAGGTTTCCAGAAAACTGCATCAGTAACTTCTGCTACTTGTGACTGAAAGTGAAGTAAGAGGAAGTGAATGAAGTAAAGTAACTGGTGTGTCGTCACGGAAAATAGCCAGCCAGTATGAAGTAGGAAATTGTTGTTATCATATCGTTAAGTAGTTATCAAGTCATAAGGAGTATATACGAGAACAGTAAGGAAGATAGATTTGTACTCCTCTTCCATCAGTTTACCGAATGTGTAATAAATGTATGATCTGTATAGTGTCCTGCTTTCACGGGTGTATTTTATGCATCATATGAAATTGTGGATGATAGGAGAATATTCGAAAACCTGGAAATTCGAAATAATTTGGTGATGTGGTTGTTCCGTATACCCTGAAGTTTTCTTGAGTGTCCGTTGATGTGTGTCTCATGTACTTAAGCACTTGGATATCAACCAATTGATCCAAGTTTAGAATCGTGAGGCTTTCTATGTGCTGTCGTCCATCACTACAAATGTTGTTCATATCATGGTTTTGGAAAAATCAGTTTCAGGAGACGGAGTTCTATGACTGTAAAATCACACCGATTACGAGAGGCGACTCAGTTGTCTAGTGCGAAACGCTACTATTTTCTAAACGCTGATTCTCACTTCTGAATCTCCATGGGAATTCTGTCACTCAGCTTATAAGTCTCTAATAGTATGAGATTTATGTTCTGAGTGTTCAACAACCGCTGAATGACAACATTCAACTCGAGGGTGCTGTTGAGTAGTTAATTCTAGGAATCTATTTGCTGTCACTAACGAGTCATATCTGTCCAGTGTGACAAATGACGAACAGGTAATCCTCGCTGTTAACATTCATCATTGTGTTACTTTGTCTCGAAAATCATATGACACAGGTTTGAAGGTTTGTTGTCACTGAAACGTCAGGATTTATCCGTTTTCAAGAAGTTGAAATATCGATGTAATTCAGACTTGATAGTGAATATACTCTGCAGTCGTGATGTTTTCTCAGACCGCTAGATGAAGACTGATAACCAACTCTATCAATGCTGTTGTTCGTTGATTCTGTCAGAAGAATAAAATGACGAATGATTACACTTTATTCACTCATTACTCAGACGTCTATAATTTGTAAATGTCATATAGGTGAAGAAATGTGCGTACGAGCGAGTGTGAAATTGTCGCGATGGATGGTACACCTGGAAGAGTACGTACGATTTCACGGTTTCACACGTTCTGTAGGAAAGGAATTTACTGGGAGGAGTATGTTAATCTAAACCGGGAGATAAAAGTGAGTGAGTGATCCGAGATTGCATACAAAATACATGCAATGGAACAATAACCATTGTTTTTGCATTATTCAGTGCTTCACATTCTTCTGACGGAGAGTAGACTTCACGCAGTTTTCGGAAGCTGTAACAGATGAAGCACAGTGAAGTCGTGGAACTGTTCCCGTCAAATAATGTAGAGTTGCTTGTATACGGAATTGTCTGTTGTTCTGTGAGATTAGAGAAATTGAAGTGAAAATCTCTACACTCTTCTCAACTGTTCATATTTCCACGTCTTTTCACAAAATAACGTTTTCACTAGAATTCGAATGCATGAAAGAAATGCGAATTCTTCGAATGATATTTCTCACGTCATCTTTGCATTTTGTTTATTGAAACCGGACTGTGGGAATAATGCATCTACTGATGAATCGTTATGTACTTCTGTGGCTGACTGGCCAGCAGAACCAGTAATCTCACAGTATTCGGATGACTAGATGACTGCAAAGATAATTTATGAGTCATCATCTCGATGAGTTTAATGTGTCAGGCTTCATATCACTCCTGATGATATTTTCCAACATCAACTGGACCTTCTCCAAACAGAAAGACATGAATAAACATTCCATGGAAACCTGATATTACTACATGATATCTTGCATTGCATAGCACTAGTATTCCGGATTGTTCGCAATGAATTGAATCACACCGTCGCGAAAATATACGATGCAGTGATAGTGCGTTATGTGTTTGTCTAACTACAACAGAATTCGCTTCGGGAACACAACACTACAACCCACTGATTACTTGAAATGATCTGCCACACTGAAATGAAATGAATAGTCGGAGCGGGTTAAGTGACAACTACGCGAACAACATTCATCGAACAATATACGTGGTATCCTCCTTGTATTTACAACCCCTTAGAAATTTGAGCTGTAAATAAGACAAATCTGTATGGTTGAATGAATGACATTGAAATCCCTCAGAAAATGAGGCTGAACGAATCGAAACAGTTCGGTACGATTATCATGTCAGTACATGTGCAAATCACGAATTCACAGTCAAGTTAACGAAGAAGCTTGTCCGTCCTAACAGTTACGATTTCATGATTTCACACGTCTAATGGAAACCAAATGTGTTGGCACAGTTTGTATGTAGACGGGAATTCGAGGTTGAGTTACGTGTGATTGCACACGAAAGGTATGCATTGGAACGATATGCATTAGGACTTGCTCACAGTCAAAATTTGAATGCCACCTAGAACACAGTGATAAAGTTGGTTGATAGAGGAATGCAAGTAGATGATTGACTCAGGTGAGATGGGCAGATAGCCATGCTATTCATGCATGGCATGGGTCGATTAAGACTGAAGGCTTGCAGAACTTCGACTTGTCTAGAGAATGATGGAATTTGGTTAGGGTTAGGGTGATATCTCAGTGCCCACGCTGTGAGATGATACAAAATTTCCATGAGCTAGCTATCACTTACAAGTGTGATAAAAACATTCGACCTGTGAAGGCAAAGCGTGTACTGGTCAGGTAGAACATATGTGCTATTCAAGCAAATATAATTGCAGATCGGTCATCCTAATATCATTTTGGTGACTCTGATGTGAAGTGGTTGACGTTGAGTACAAAAGTGATTCAAGTGGTTATTACTCAGCATTCATCTGTGATTTGAGACTTTACTGGGTTGATAAACCATTCGGATCATCAAATGGATATAAAGCTTTGTGAATGCGTGACAATTATTTTAGTCGGTAAGATAGATGACTATAATTTCTGGTTCCGAAATGTCAGGATGTTTGGACACGTTCCCAGTGAAGAAATATATTCAGCTTTATAAAGTTATTTCCAACTGAATTGAGATTAAATGTAATCAATAATGGTAGTCAGCCATACAACGTCAGGTACTACTTGAATAACGTTTCAGCAAGATTAGGAGAGATGTGACGACAACATTGTCTTATTTCGTCGTCGAACATATTTCGAGAACATGGTTTTACGCCACAGTCTTCTATGAATTTTGTTCAAGTAAACGTGACATGTCCGTGTATGATAGTATTTCTGACTTTTATTCCTGAAATGATTTCCGAATCTGAGTATTCGTTCTCTTCACCTCAGTCGTCTTGATACCAATGGAAGTGGAGGGATCAGATTGACAGTAGAAAATGAAGCCATTTTCATTCACAGCTACTTATTGATGAATTGACCAATGTGGTTTACTTATACGAGAAGACTTCATTTCGAATACACTACTGTGTTTCATTATATTTTGCATAATTTTTTTCATAGTCACGTCCAACATTCAATTGCTGTTTTGATTTATGACTCAACTACTAATGAGAGGTTCAAACAAGATATCACGGGAATCACAATTTTTTAGTGTGATTAGAGTTGACCATGCGGGTTGAATAATGTCCGTGAGTTGTATTCACTGGAGTCAATTGAAGGATTTTCTGTGAATTAGAATGGCGTTAATCGCACAACATTTCATGACAAACCGTAATCGGTTAGAAGACCACAATTGAGAATCCTGGGAGTAGTAGACAGACACTATTTCCTCCCAGTCCTAGTTCGAGACTGTTTCTAATTATACACCCACCCTACTGAGTGGAGTAT